AGTTCCTGATAGCAAACATAGAGGCACTAATTTGGTTTGGGAGAGAAGGTGTTTGTGCAGTTGGATAACAGCCTGCATGTTGACATGTCTGGGGGGATTTATATGTTTGCACTCCCCTTGTTTGAGGCAATGAGCGCAATGTCACCTGTGCATACCTGACACCATGGTTTAAGACTGTATGCCTTGAAGGTGTAAGGTGCAATGCTTTATTTGTAATCAAAGGGGAAATGTATCTAAACTTGTTAGAATAAACAGTTCCTTTGCAAATAGACTGATCTAGAAACTCTGCCATTTTAAGGAGTAAAATCCCAAGGTTATAAGGAAATTGCAGATATGCTTTTCATTGCCTTATAGAATTTTCTTGGACCCCATTTCATTTTTCTGGAACATGACTTGTACACCTGCAAATACATTCAAAGGATCTTGTTAAATTTATTTCAAAGGTATTTCAGACAGCAGGAGTAGCAGTAACATCTTTCATTTCAACAATGCTTGGTTGGTTTCTTTTGTACAAAACCCCTAGGCTACTCATTTCCTTAAAATAGGATTTAATTTATACAGAGATATGTTATTGTTTTAGTCTACAACTGTTACTCAGAATGGAATTTTGCAAAATGAATGCTCACAGCAGTGCTTTGACAATCTTAAGTACTGCAGCATTTTAAAGAGATAGCTGTCTATTCCAATAGATGTGGAATAGAGACCCCAACACCTGTGACTTCCTTTCTCAGTTAAAAAGAAAAGGAATAGAGAAATAGCTGGGTTTTACCTGTGTGTCTGGATATGAAGCCATGTGAGATTTTTGAATGGCTCCACACAAGTTTTTCAAGTTTTCTCAGAGCGTCTGGGTTTCCCAGCCCCAGGACCACCACTGGCCGGTTTTGTTGGTTTTGCATGGCTTAAGTTTTGGAGAGGAGGAAAGAGGGCAGCCACCAAAGTGGTATTTCTCTGAGGAGCTGCTACAAGCTGTCTCCGTGCTGGCAAAACCAATCACTGACTGGCTCTGGAAACAGGCCCACTGCTGAACCAATTAGAAAAGCTGGTGACGCCTCTGGGACAACATATTTAAGAGAGGAAAAAAGGTGCAGGAAGCTTTTTCTTTCTTTCTGCCTTCCGAGGGGGGCTGCGGGGACAGCTGAGCCCCTTCCCGGGGGGTCGGGGGCTCTTTGCCATCAGGGCGGCCGGGCCCTGCTGCCGGGGCTCATCCAGCGCCGCGAGCAGCTGCGGCCAAAGCCGGGAGCGGCCCTGGGGGCAGGAGCAGGAATGGCCCCGCTGCCTGTGCCGGGAGCAGCCCCGGGACCGGTGCCGGGAGAGGCCCCACGGCCGAAACTGAGAGCGGCCAGGGCCGCAGGAGCCCACGCAGCCACCGCCACCCGGGCACGGCCCGCGACACACTTTGCCTGCCAGGCCACCAAGAGCCTGCCGCAGCGCAAACCAAAGGACAGAAACCTTCTTAGCAGGACCACTCTCTTTGTTCTCAAGGCTAAGACAGCCATTTGCATGCATTAATCACTGCACTGGGGGAATAGAGGGCTCAACACTGTCTGGTACAGCTAAAGGAATTCAGCATTTGTTACAATTCAACTTTTTCTCAACACCTTCCTTCTCTGGGAATTGCTCACAAGCATTTCGTCAGTGCACCACAAAAACAAATGCTTTTGCTGATTGAAGCTGCATTGCCTCTTTCCTTCAGAAATTATTGAAGAAAACACAATCTGCCTTCTGAAACCCTTCTGCTCCCTTCTAAATCAATTCACTACCCAAGCACAAGCCTCAGGCTCATCCCTGATTCCCTCTGGGAGATAGGAGGTAATATTTTGCTGCAGCCAAAAAGTTATTAGAATAAAGAATGAAAGTTGTTGCTGCTAGGTGGTGTTAGTTATGGTTTGCATTTGTTCCAGTTATTTTGGTGGGCGTTGCTGTGAGCTGGAAAAGGAGAGGTGTTGAGCCCCAGACCAAAAGGGATGTAGGAGAAGAGGAGAGAGGACAGAAAAGAAGGCTGTCAGAAGGGAACAGAAGTTCCCCAGTACCTAGCTAAAGGGAAAGGGGACAGGGGTGGCCCAGGACTGGGAAAAGCAATAAAAAGCAGCATTATCTTGGCTTGTGTGTATGTTCAGCTCTCAGGAGAAGGAGATACACAGCTGGCTCAGTTGAATCTTTACTAAGAAGGTTCTCTTTTGCTTAAATGACTTTGTCTCCATTTAATTGTATCTAGGAGTTTGTTTATTCTAACACCTCTCTGCCAGCAGCTCAGAGCTGCATTGCACAGCACTTGCTGTGTGCCAGAGAGCACAAAGCAGGCTGGCCTGGTGGGCCTCAATATTTCTGCACAACACTCTGCATCTCACACCTTTGCTCTGGCTCAGTGCAGAACTGCAGGATTGCAGGCGCTTCCTCCCAGAGCTGCGTGAGGCGCTGGCTCCTGCAGATGTGCCCTGCCAAGCTGTCCCTGCCTCACGCTGGCCTTGCTTCCCCTGGCACAAGTGCCGGCCGGGCCTGAAGGAGGCTGCCCTGTGCTCCAGCCTGCCGAGCAGCCCAGCTCCCTGCCCTGGTGCCCAGAGTGCTGCACACACTGCTGACCTTTGCCAGGAGTTGCAGGGCAGCCGGCAGAAGAGGAGGAATCCTCAGGCAGCCCAGCGGCCCTCGGCTGCCCTTGGCCTTTCTCTGCTCCTGGGCACACTCCAGACAGCCAATGCCTCCAGGCTGGGCTGTGCCCAGCACGGCTGCGCTTCCCCTCGGGAGCAGCCAGCTGCCACCTGGGCTCTGAGAGCGGAGGATTCGCCCGCTCCCAGGAACAGGCACCCAGGGCCCGGCTGCTGCCTCTTGCAGCTCCAAGGGCCTCCTTCCAGCCTGCCTCTGCTGGGGCTCTCTTGGGGCTCCACCCCGGGCAAGCGGGGCCTGCTCTCACCTCACAGGCGCTGACAGCTCTGCACCACAGGAGACCTTCCCGAGCACCCTCTCTGATCCTTCTGCTTTCTCCCTTGAGCAAGGCTTTCCTCCAGCCAAAGAGATTGCTTTTCAGGATCGAAATCCAAGTGGCAGAAGCCCAGATGCTCTCGAGTCACAGCTGAAGGCCTGAATCTGCACAGGATGTCTTAGCTGCCCCACTCCTCCTTTGCTTTTTCCTGAAAATGCCATTGCCCTATCTGCCTCAACTAGAAGTGTCACAGATGTGCCAAAACCAGCCAGTAGGTGGTCCAAAGGCAGTTCCAAAGGCAGTGTGGTCTGGAGAAGATGAATGAAGAAGAGCCTTCCTCACTTATGAAGTCATAAATATGACTTAGCACCCATAAAAAACAACTGGTAATTCAGGAAATGTTGAATTTTCTGAAGGGGTCAGAAAGAGGAGAATCTTCCAAATGAGTTGATGTTTCAGCAACTTTATTTAAATACAACCCTAATCTATAATCCTATTCTACAAAACTCTTCAACAACCTTACTCTACAATCCTGCTCTAAATTGGTAACAGAGGTAACATCTTGACATGATTGTTACATTCTCATCTCCTAGAGTTAGGGTTAGGGTTATGGTCAGGGTTAGGGTTTTGGGTTAGGGTTTAGGGTTAGGGTCCTTCTTCTTCTTGACTGAGTTGATGAGTTGTGCCAGGATGGATGCTGGCTTGGCTGTTGTTACAAATGGATGCTGTCCACCGGGAAAAGAAAAAAAACCACAAAGAATAGTGAACCATTACTTTCCAAGCTCAGTGCTTCAGAGACTCAATCAGGATACATCTAGTTCCTAGCAAGACCCAGAAAGAGGAGCAAGGGGACCATCCACTCCCCAGTCATGCCCAATGTGCAGGACCTTGCCATCACAGGCAAATGTGGCCCAGAATCCCACTCATGTGTTCATTGTGATATCTTGCTGGGATTTTTGCCCTGCCAGTGCTCTAGAAATGGTGCCTTCTGTCCCTGGGGTTTCTTCCTTTCAGGAAACTCCAATGACTCACATAGGTCCTTGCCTTTGCAAGACAGGTTTTTATTTCCACAGGGAGACAGAGCAGTGTCTACCCTTCCATGCCCTGCCCCTCGTGTGCTGGACGGCACCTTCCTTCCCAGCAGGGCCAGCGCAGTGGCACTGGGTCCTGCAGTTCCCTCTCTGCCACACAACCTGGCAGTAACCCTGGCACAGTTCCCGTCTGCCTGAGCGTGCCAGGCAGCAGATGGGGCTGGGACAAGTCCCTCCCAGCTGGCCCTGTTTGCATGGCAGAAACCTCTAAGGGTGGGCTGGGGGGCACAAACCAGGGCCCCTCAGAGGCTCACAGTGAGTCCCCCACAGCCCCTCTTGCCCACAACCAAATCTTTGACTGCTCAGCTGGGACTGGCTTCCTTGGGTTCCTGCACCACCATTTCATGTGTCTGTACCCTGCATTGCTCTACTTCAGTTATTTTGCCATTAGATAAAACAGAACACCCAACCAAATTGAAAAAGAGGGCAACAGGAACAGAAAACAGAGCATCTCTCCTCTGAGGAAATGCAGAGAGAGGTGGAGTTATTCAGTTTTGTGAAGAACAGGCCCCAGCAGACTTCATTGCCACTTTCCAAGACCTCAGAGTGGTTTTAAATAAAGTGGGGGACATCTTTTTTAACAATGCCAGTTACAATAGGATGTGGGTGAATATTTTTAAACAAAATGAGGATCAAGTCAGAGTAGGTCTAAGGAAGAACTTGTTTACTCGGAGCCTGGTGCCACTCTGGCACAGGTTGCCCCAAGAGCTTGTAGGTGCCTCATCCCTGCAACCATTCTGGCTCAGGTGGCAAAGGGCTCTGAGCAACCTGATCTCTTTAAAGATGTCCCTTCTCATTGCAGGACACTTGCACCAGAGGACCTTTACAGGGCCCTGCCAGCCCAGCCCAGTCTAGGATTCCTCAGTGTTTTCATTTGAAGAGCTCCAGGAGTGGAGGTGAGGAGGAAGGGCGCTCATCTGATCCTTGGACTTGAGTGGAGGAGGAGCCCACCCCTCAGAGCCTGTTTCACCTGCAGCCCCTTCACATTTTACCTGCAGGAGCTCCTTGGCAGACCAGCGCTGCTCCTCGTCTCTCTGCAGGCAGCAGCTCAGGAAGTCATGCAGGCAAGGCGAGAATTGGTTGGGCTGCTGCAACTGTGGGGTCCCTTCTGTGGCTATCAGGCGTTGAGCCTGGAGAAAAAAACAAACATGAGGCTCCACCTGCTGCTTTCACGTTTCCAAGGCTCTCCCACATCCTTTTGTTTACCCTCTGTTCTTCAGTGGTAGTTTCTGCCCTGGCAGAGACCCAGAGATAATTTTCCTTTACCAACCAGAAACCCAAACCCCGATGCAGCCACAGCTTTTCCACCATCCCGCAGATCTTGCCTTGGCGGCTGATTTCATTGACTGACCTAGTTAGTGGGAGCTACATCAGCAAAAGCACATTTGCTTCTCTGAGAATTCAAACCGGCTTGAGAGGCTTTTTGGAAAAGGGACTGTGCTATAGAAACTCATTCCAAGGGTTAGTACATGAAAGGCACCTCTGCAGTGCTTGTTGGTGCTTTAAGCGCACGTGCCATAGAACAAAACTCATCAAGCTTTTTGTGCTGTTCTTGAAAACAATGAGAATTGGAAGGAAAGTAAGGAAATCCATCAGTTAATCCCCAGGTAAGGAAACAAATATTTACAATCTCATCTTCAACACAGACACATTAAGATGCCTGCACAAATGTATTGGGATGAAAATGCCTGCTTAGGCAAAAAGGAGCCACCTGCAGCTCTGTCTCTCAGCAGTCTGAAAATTGCAGCTTCCCATTTTGCAGCAAAAGAAAAACTGTCATGGTCAGAAGAAGGAGAGGTGCCATGCCTGTGGTCACCCTCTGCTCATTTGGCTACTCAAGTCAATACATTAATGGTAGGCCCATCCCAGAAAGTGCCAGGAAACAAATGGCAGGCTCTCCACATCACCAGGCTCTGGCTTGGTGACACAGAGAATGTGCCTTTGGCTAGGAGAGAAACACGGTCGCTGAGTGTTTCAGCAGCACTGCAGAAGAAGCAGAAGAGACTCTGTGGCCTTTACACTCTCATGCCAAGGTTTCAGGCATGTTTCCAAAGTGAGAAGAAACTGCACAGTGGGTTAAGTTCCTTTCTAAAGACCACAGCTTTTGAAAGTTTTTGAAAGTTTTAGAAACTTTGTTGGGTTTGGGTTTCCTTCCTTCATTTCTGGAAAGATACAAGCAGTTCCAAGACGCTTGTTTCCTGTTACTGGGGCCATCTCCACAGACAAAAGAACTGGAATCACTTATAACCCAAAGGAAAGTGTTGCCTGAGAATGGAGTTTGTTTGCATGTGTAAGGCTTGAGTTCCCCCACTGATGTATCCAAATTGACAGCAGATGCTGATGTGCTGCAGGCACATTTTTAGGAGGGGACCTTGGTAGAAGTAGTTCCAGCAGATGGCCATGGGATTTTGTCCAATGGCATGCAGGACAAGGGACAGATAAGAAAGACAGTGGGATCAGTGAGTATTTGCCCCTTACCGAGGTATGACTTTGGTCCCAGTAAGGAGGTTCTTTTTCTACCATTTCAATCCCCACAATTCCAAAAGACCATATGTCCACTTTGGGGCCATATGGTTGACCTGTGACCACTTCAGGTGCCATCCACCACGGAGTCCCAGCTACCAAGCACGGTCTGCTCTGCTCAGGGGTGAGCTGAGTAGAGAGGCCAAAATCAGCTGAGGAGAAAGCAAAATATTGGTTTTGTTTGAATTCTGTGCAATTAGGAAAGCAGGCAAAAGAATTCCCCAGTAGAAGTTTGCTGGCATTGGCGACTTTAAAAATCCCCATTTTTTACACTGCCTCCAGCAGTGGCTTTTGTTCTTTGCAGTCTTTAGACTTGTAGCTCCCTCCCTCTGGAAGGGGCACACAGAGAGCAAGGCCACTCTTGACTGCTTGTTCCTTGTCCTGCCTCTGTGCACGTTGCAACTGTGCCCTCAGCTCACAGCGGGTGTCCCTGCACTGCCACCAGCACCATTTTTCGGGAGCTGGCTGTCACTCCAAGCAGCCCCACACCCACATCCCTGGAATGCTGCACCTGACCAAGAATATACTGACTCAGCTTGACAGAACCGTTGGTTCTGAGAAGGATGTTGTCGCTCTTCACATCTCGATGGATCACATGGTTTGAGTGAAGAAAATGCAGTCCTTGCAGGCACTGAGAGAGAAAACAGAAAGAGGAGGGCAAAAAGTGTTGTGATTTCAGCACACAAGAAAGGCAACAAAGAATCTAAAAGATTCCCTCTGCAGGGGAATGGGCAGTAATGTCAGAACACAGTGCCACTGTGAGGACGAGTTTGCTGCTCCAACACTTGCAGAGCAGGACCTTTCTGAGGAAAGGCATGTCAGCTTTTGAAAGAGCAACAGCACCTGCTCTTTGTCCCCTGCAAACCAGCCAGGATGACTGCTGCTGCAGTGGACATTGCTCAGAAGCAAAGAGCATTTTGGCTGCACTCCTGTCCTTTTTAGCTGAGGACTGAGAGAAACGAGTCTCTCTTTTTTTTCTTTGCTGTTTGTTTCAAATCCTGCCACCAGCACCTTTGCTTTCACCGGAAAGGGATGCAGTGAAGACAGGCAAAAGTTTAGGGAAGCAAGATGGAGAACAGCAAATACAAGAGACAGAGCGAGAGTACAACAGCAGGAGAGAAGAGTACTGGCACTGAGTACAGGGAGTGCAGGGGCACTGGCAGGCCTTTCACTTGAGATGCTTTTACTTGCCCATAGCATACCAGTCACATGAAATCACTCCTGATCTGAGCCCCTGTTTCCTGGACAATCCTGCCCAAGCCCTTGGAAACACAGATGGGATTGCTGACCTCCCGACTGATGGCTGCAATGTGATGTTCAGACAGGCAGGTCTTGTAGATGATATCACTCAGAGCGCCTCCATCCATGTACTCCATAACCAGCCAGAGTTCCTCGCCCACAAGGTAGCTGAAAGAAGGAAACAAGGGCATGGAGATAAAAATGCATGGCTACCTTAACTTTTTACTTGCCATTTTCTTGTTTCCAGGTTGCTCTGTGACTAGGACAGAATCAAAGGAACAGAGAATCTGCAGACTGTGCAGTCTGGAGGAGAAAGGCACAGCTGTGAAAAAGGAGATGTCTTAGATGGGCAGCAAGTGAAAAATGCAGTTTAGCAACAGCCCAGATAAAAATCCTGTCAGGCATGGTATTTCTGGAAATAAGCACATAGTATTCCTGGCATGCACAGCAATGGCAAAGAGGGGCAACAATCTAAGAGAAATCTACTTTAGGGTGGTTCATCAGCATTTAAGAGTCTTTAAAATTCCTCCCAAAAAAAATGTAGAGGCAGTGGACTTTGAGTGTATTGACTTAGGAAGATACAGCTGATCCAGGTTTTGAATAAGTTTGGAATAATTTTCAAACGACGAGTGGCAGGGAAAACTCATGCAGACAAGATGCACTCTCTTCTCATCCATTGGAGATGAGTAAAGAAATATGAATACATAAAAATTAACAGCTCTACTTTCTGCCACTAACCCAAGTAGGTTTTTAACCTCTCATGTTTGCTGTATGTAAATGCACATCCATGGGATAACACCATGACTTCTCACCTGTCTAAATATTTCACAACATTGGGACTCCTACACCTCTCCATGATCCTTATTTCATTAATGGTTAGTTCCTTCCTCCTCAGTCCTTGAAGATTTATTTTTTTTATGGCCACCTAAAATGACATTGAAAATGAGTAACTTGAGCAGTTGGTGGCACGAGACTACAACACACATGGAGAGAGTGATTTTGCAATGACACAGCTGAGCTGTGCCGAACTGCCTTGTGATTCGGCACTGCAGTAATTAGGAACTGACATTTCCAACAGCCCATTTCTCTGCTCCCTTGGGGGCCAGTTAGAGGATACGTGGGGCCGCTGGCATTTTGCCTTGTCCACTTGGTAACAGTGATGTCTCAGCTACCACCGACAAACCTCTAACCACACTCTCTGCTGCTTTGTTTGGGATTCAGAAGTAATGCATGCCTTATTACTGTGTGGATACATCTTGGGCTATGGGCAGGGCTTAGGGCTTTTAGGGCACCTTGCAGATCTCTCCCTACGTGCAGTTCCCAAGTGCAGCACTGCAGGTGGCTAAGGAACTGCCAGTAACTTTCAGATGGATTTGCTGACAGTCAGAAAGGAGAATTCAGGACTCTGAAGCTGTAGCCGCAAAGAGCAGTGAGATGCTCTAAGGCACCACCTCTGTTTTAGCAATGGAGAGCGAGTGAGCACGTCCTTCTCTGAAAGGAATCGCTGCCCTCCGTGCCTTCCTTCTGGCAGCTGAGGAGGACAAAGTCCCAAATGTATTTTGCAGGCAGGAACCAGTTTGTGCTTCTTGTCCCTTTTCAGCACAACTCTACCCAAAGCTCCAGCCACAGCCCGCACCAGAGGGGAAAGCCCCTCAAGAGCAGCAGAGTCTGCAGGGGCTGTTGACATTTACCTCTCTCCCTGTGGCATTGTTGAGTGCTCTGACCACATCTCCAAAACCCCTAGAAACAAAAAAGAAGAAGAGAAATGAGAAGCCATTTAGATCTTTCAGTGAAAGCCAGTCCACACAGGAGATGTGTGCTGTAAATGCCTAAAGCCTGCAGGATGCAGGAGGGCTCTGCCAGAAAGCAGATGATGCATTTTCCTCTCAAGTGCATGGGCACTGGACTTGTTCCTGAAGAGTTGGGGTTCAACTTCTAAAGAGAGATTCTTCTTTTGTCTTGGGTTTCACTTTCTAAACTGTGTGGTTCCTATCCTGACCACAGAGTATTTCCTTCTGCAAACCAGGGGAAATAAATGTTCCTGGGAACTGTTATCTTAAAGCTTTGATCGGGTAGGTTGCTCTTTCAGGCAAGCAAGATTCTTCTCTTTTCATTAGTGTGCCAGTATGATTTTGAGACATACAAAAAATGCTAAAGAAATTAACACAGAGCTATCCCACACTTGAGAGACAAGGAGATCTTCCAGGTCCTGTTCCTTGATGCAGGCAAGACCTTGGCAGCATGGAAGTATCTCTGACGATGCCTTCTGAGCCCACTCAGAAATTCTGAGCACCACTGATAGATGGGACAATCTGTCCCCAGTGTGTGAACATCTTTGCAGCTGGCTGGACTTCACACTGGATAGATATTCCACCAGCAAAACACCTGGCCTGTGGTTCAGTAGAAGTGACTGTGGTTGGACTCACCCGCTGCCAATATGCCCCAGTTCGGTGTATTTTATCATGGGATGTATCTGGTTCACCATTCTCCCTGAGGGAAATAAAATGCATTAGCTGACTTTAAAGCAGAGATCCCAGCTTCCAGGAGATACAAAAGGCAGCCCCACTGTCTGGGGCTCTCAGCCCTTTGTGGTCAGCTCGGTAACAACAACCAGAACAGCAACAGGACAGGCAGCCGTGCAGTGCAGATGGCTGGCACAGAGACTGATTTTGTACAGTCCCTTGAAGAGTTCTCTTGACAGGAAAAAAAGCACGGGGAGATGCAATTCCAGGAGAGAAAGACATCTTCCCCACCTTCCAGCAGTTTGCCAAACCAGGGCAGCTCAAACTATAACCAATCCCAATGGGGCTTTCAGCATCAGGACCCTGACCTCTTTATGAGCAGGCTGAGCTCCAAGATGCCCCTCTCCCAGCTAGGGAAGGCTCCAGCCTCTGCAGTCCCCTCCAGCCCTCAGGGACAGGGCAGCTAGCACAACAAGGCTGGCAAAGCCCAAGCATGAGCACTGACAAGCAGTGGGAAGAAGCCACAGCCAGCCTGAGCCCTGTACAAGCTGTTGCCCCCATTCAGGACACAAGAGGATGGGCCTTGAGATCAGCCACACCAAGGTGCGGATCAGTGCCCTTTTGGTCCCAACAGGTGATGGTAGACACAGAATCCCCTGGGCTCTGGTCTCAGCCCCACCAGGTCTTATCTGAGAGCACAGCACTGGCAGCTGTTACGGGCAAGAGGCAGATTCATTGGGTTGTGCTGCGGAATCACAAAGGGCTTGATGTGTTTTCCTAGAGACTGATCTGAGCAGGGCTTGGGTCAATGGCTAGGATTCTAACAGTCATGGGAAAGAGTGGGAATCAGGTATGGAAAAGTGCCATGGATCTGAGGAATATACCATGGCTGGGCTGGAGGCTCTCTCCTGAGAAGTGCCTGCAGTAAAGTTTTATCTGATCATGCCACTTGGATGTGTCTCTTGGACACATCTTGATAAGCATAAAACTAGAAGATTAAATAAAAGTTGTTAGAAAAGTGTTGAGTTTTTCTTTGGGGGCACATGGAAAACACTTCCTGCTCTCAATTTGTCATGTAACCTAACGTTCTTTCAAAATAGATCATATTGACAAAAAGATAGCATTCTCATGAAAATAAACTGCAGCAACACAAAATCAGTGGTAACAGTAACAGTCATAAAAATGCCATCAGTAAGATTGGGGACAGAAGGGCTCTTTCAGGCTGGAGAAAAACCAACTCCACCAAAAAAGCCCCATAAACCATCAAAAAAAAAAAACCTAAAACACAACAAATAAACCCCACAGAAACAAAAAACAAAAGGCCCCTACAAAAATTAAACACAAAAACACCCCCCCCCCCACCACAAAAAAAATCCCCAACCAAAAAGACAAAACTCCAAAGCCAATCCATTTCTGTGAAGTTGTTTTGCTCTGATGACTAGTTGGAAGTCAGGAGTCTAAGGAGAATTTAGGAAGCTGAAAATTCTGTGCAGTTTGGCCATGAGCACACAGGACTCGCCTAGATCATTTGCAAGGTCACAGGCTTCTGCTGATCCAAGAACAATCCCTGCTTCAGCCTTTAGAAGAGAGGGAAGCTCAGGCAAACCCAAGCCAGTCCAAGGTGCCCTCAGAGGCAGCAGGAACACCCAGAGCGCTCTCTCACTGCCTCGGAGCAATGCCAGCACTTCCTCTGGGGAGTCCAAAATGGCCCTGTGACACTCAACTCAGGAGGAGCATTTGGTACAGCTCTGCTGACACCTGCACACAACACACTGTCCCTCAGACAAGCAACACCCCAGACATACCCAGCATCTCCAGGTACTTCTCCTCGGTCTGCTGTTTTGGAGAGTTTAAGGAACTGCCCGAGCTCAAGTTCCCTGGTTTGAGAGAAGAGCTTCCTCGAGGTGATGCTGCTGCGACAGCAGGTTCAGAGCCCATGATGTGCTGGACCTGGAGCACTTCTGGTGGGCACTGTTCCTGTGCCTCACTCCTGACTTGGGGTCCTTCATTGCCAGATATTCGCTGGAAGTCTTCACAGGCTGCCTGGTGAGATGTCAGCACTTGCACCTCAAATGAAACAGAACAAAGCAGTCAGACACTACAGCTTGTCCCTGTCAGCCAGGAGTCATTGACTGTGAGGAAAGGCAGAGAACAGATTGACAAGGGATACAGACAGCTTGTTTCAATCCTCCATCTGGATCACCACGTTCTACTGTAAAAACACCTCAAGAAAGAAGGGGAGAGCAGGAACAGGCCAGCAGGAACCAATTTGGATGACTGCTGGCCAAAAGGCCAAAGGACAAGTTTCATTGTCCAGGGCAGCAGTTAAGACTCCGCACAACAGGAAATGTCCTTCAGAGTGACTGTGATACCCACTACAGCAGGATGGCACTCAGAGGCATGGCCCCACTCCCTGCTGCTCTGCAGTGTCAAAGGCAAGAAGGGCAGAAACCACCAGTTTGGTGACTGCAGTGACTGCATCCCTCTTTTAATCACTTGGTCTTCTAGAGCCTGAGGGAGGCAATTAAGTTTCTCTCTGACGCTTTTCATTTCTTCCTCCAGCCTCTTCTCTCTTGCCTTGTTGGTAGCCTCAGAGTCCTGCAGCTCTGCCTGCACGTGTCCCTTGATAGACTGTAAACAAGAAGGGAGAGGGCATTTCATGAGTGGAGTGGCTGCCACTCTTTCACTCACCTGGTTTTGTTGATCGCCCCTCTGCTGATGGAGATTCTCCTCTTGAATTCTTCCCATGTCTTCCTTGTTCCTCCTCTTCACTGTCATGATGGCACTCTGAGCTTGGGGCAGCTCTGCTTGTGGCTCTGCCTTGATGTTCTGTGCACACAAATGCAGAGCAAGTGACTGGGAGCTGCCATCAGGCTCAGCTTTTTCCTCTTGCAGCCTCAAAATCACATTTATGCAGCCACTTCTTTCTGCTTCCCTCCCCACATCTGCTTCCAATGTAACCCTCCTGTCCCAGGGCTGATCTCTGCAGATTCCAAGGCTCTGTGCTTCCAGTGCCTGTGGGATTCCTGGCCTCCTCAGTCCCAAGAGCTCTGGTTTATGCCCCTCTTCCTGCCCTTTCTTCTGTCACCTGGCCAGTCAGGCTTACCTGGCACTGTGCTGCTGCTCTGCTGGGTCATTCTCTGTTTGAATGGAGGCACAGATTCCAAAGTGGACCTAGCCCTACAATCAGGGGCCATCTAGAAATTAAGCTCCAGCCTCTCAGGCAGCTGACAGGGAAGGTGTGGCATTTCTCAAGGGTCTGGTGAGGGCCTCCCTCTGCTTCTACCATGTCCTGTTTGTCTTTCAGTAGTGACTGACTCCTGTCCCACAGCTCCTGCCTGGCTCTGCAGGTGGCTTCCTGGGTGAGCTCAGCCCTTCTGGAGTTCTCTTCAGGCCTGCAGCAGCATTCTTGCCTTTTTGACATTCACACTCTTGTTAGAAAACCTGGTCATTCAGGAAATGAGGATGTGTGCAGAGATCTCTGATGGAGGTCACAGAGCATCTATGGCCATCTCAGTATATGGAGGAGGACCAAGGTGTTTCTTCTCGCTCTTTTGTCAACTGAGAATTCTGACCAGCAGTAACAGAGACTCTCCTAAGGCCCCCTTAATGAATGCACTTACACAGCCCTGGGGATGCCAGTGAGGGAAACCATGTGTCATGTAATGCATGGCATGTATGACCAGAGTCACCAAACACTACCTAAACATTGAATTGTTCCACCTCTCTAGGACAGGCAGAAATTTAAAGAATTAACTGAGGACTTCAGGGCATTAGAGGCCAGAGGAGGAAAACAACTCTGAGGGGAAAAAACCACCATATCTGGAGAGGGAAGCATCGCTGCCTGCTCAAAATCAGTTAAGGAAACATGTCTCTAATACTCTCCTGAGAGAAATGCTTTAGGCGACCTTTGCACATCCAACTGCCTTGGACCAGAGCCAGGAAGATTCAATTATGTAAATGTTACATAGATAGATAGGTAGGAAGATAGACAGATAGATCTCGCTACTATAATCTCCCTTTACTGTTCTCTCTGTTGCTACACACATCAAAACTTGGTAGCCAGTGTCCCGACCAGCAGCAATTCTGGGATTTCTCTCCTGTTGCTCAAAAACCCACACTCTTGGGAAATCTGGAGTGTGCAGGTTCTTATGGAAAGGGATCAGACCCCCCCCCTCCCCAGATCATTGCATTGGGAGCTTCTCTTTTTGTGCATCTCTGCTTGGGCAACTTCTCTTGGACATGACCACAAAGATGGTGCTAAGGTAGCTGGAATTAGAAGTCCAGCTCAGCCCCTCCCAGCTCCTGTGATCTCTAAGGGGCAGCTGGAATGCAAGGGCATTGATCTCCTGCTCAATTCCCAAACATAACACACGGTGATTCCTGGGGCTGTAGAAAGTCATAGGTATTATTAAACTAAAAGTGATAATTAAGGCCAAGAAAGAAGGCCAGGAAACACAAAAGATCCATCTCAATCAATATACAAAAAGGGTGTGGAATGCCTTGATAAGAGCAGAAAGGATTGTGCAGAAGTAACCTGGCTTGCTGGAAAAACAAGAAAAGGAACAGGACTTGTCCTCCTTGGAAAACTGTAAACGACAAGACAGAATTGTCAGCCACTCCAGTGTCCAAAGCACAGGGATAAAAGAGGGCATATTTTGCAGGGAAAAAGCCCTTGTGCTGAGCACTGTAATGTAGGGATCGATGGAAGTCTCGTTGAAGGTCATGCACAAGGCTCCCAATGTACAGGCTAAAGCTCCCTCAGCACCTCCTCCCTGGCCTTGTGCTGCACCCCCTTGCCCAGCTCCCCTGTCCTTCTGTGCACACGCTGCAGCCCCTCCATGACTCTCTGCTTCCCAGGGCCCACAAGTGCACACAGCACTCCAGCAGTGGCCGCGGCGCTGCCCAGCACAGGGCCACGCTCACTGCCCCGCTCCTGCTGCCCCGCTGCTGCTGACACAGGCCACCATGCCCTTGACCTTCTTGGCCCCCTGGCCACACGCGGCCTCATCTTCAGCTGCTC